CTATAGGCTGTGTTAAGCATGCTTCTTTGACAGAAAACAAACTCTTTTTCCATGACAACAGTAGCGACTATAAAGGACGGGGCGGTAAGCTCTCTATCAACAACAGGGGGGCTGTTCCCCTTTGTCAACTCCTTGCTTGTGTCGTTGCCTTTGTCAACCGAGCCTAACCAAAGCGTCACAACAACATCCAAAGGTTGCCTTTGTAAACGCTACTAAGGACCGGGGCGAGCGGAATTCAGTAGAGGCTCGAAGAGGGGCTTACTAAGCGAAGGGCCGAAGGCGGCTTTGCTCATGAGTTAGCGATCAAGCGGAAAAGGACCTGCTTACTTCTTTTCTTTCTGGAGCAGACTTTCTCGTAGCTCCCTATTGATAGAAAAGGGGATGAAGTGAAGGGTGAAAGAAAAATAAGAAGCAAGTCTTGAGGGAGTAAAGAGCCACCCTTAGGTGGTTCTGCGCCAAGTGCGATCGATTGTCCTTCCTTTATAGATTGAACTACCGTAACTCCACTCAACCAACAAAGTAAATTCCATACTCAAAGTTGAGTTAGCGTACAAACTCAATATTTAGACTAAGGGGGAAGAGTTTTTACTGAAGCCGAAAGGTATCCTAAAGGAATGGTAGCACCACAATCCACCCAGACGCGGCCATCATAAATGGTTCGTGCGACGGCGGCGGAGGCAGGTTCGGGATAATCCATTCAATCTTCTTCTTTTCTTTCTCTTTTCTCTCTTTTTTTTAATTTTCCTCTTCCCATGGAACTCCCTGTTGAAACATTTCCAGAAACTCGAGTCTTATTTTCTCTTCTTCTTTCGGTGGAGCTTCCTCTCGTTGTTCTTCTTGCAGCCAACTCCCTTTTATTCAAAATTATTCTTCCGCCTTTGGAAGCCGGAACGTAGGGGTCATGATGATCCGGATCTTACTCACAAAGCAATATAGTATTATAAGCATTCATTGTAGTGATGGTAGGGGGATGTTGGAAATCGGACACTTCCTCGGCCCAGCATGTTGAGACCAGAGCGTGACTAGAGAGCGAGTTCTAAAAAACTCCCATTTTCTCGTTGGGGTTCTTAGGAGCTTCCTGTTCATCCGCCACGTTGATTTTTCCTTCTTCTATGAAATCTTGGATTTTTTGCTTCAAAGTCTAGCTTGCATCCGTCGCATGACCCGGTCCCCTCTCATTGGGACCTAACCAAATTCTGCCAATTCCTTCCAGCCTTACTCAAATAGGGGGTGGGGGTGGAGTGCGGGGGAGCGATTAGTACATGCTGACGTCCGAAAGTGCTTCGCTTTCTATGGAGATAAGAACAAGTAGATCATAAGTTAGTATTGGATTTACTGGCAGAACAGATCGATGATCCTATCTTCTTGGATCCAATTCCAAAATTCCTAATGAACCCTGGTGAATCAGCTGACAGAATAATCTTTCCACACAATGGGATTGGTCTCCCCCCTTATTCACCTCTCTCTAGAAAGTCCTATTAGTCAAGCTTGGAAGCAAGCTGCTAGAAGTAGCGCGCTATTTACTAATAGAATCTCAAGTCAAGGCTCTTCTCATCGAGAGTAGGTTCTCTTCAGGTACAAAAATAAAATCAACATTTGATACCCCTTCTTTCTTACTTTCCGTTTTCAAACAGCAATTACACATTCCCTCGGCCTCTGAAACCAGTCGAAGTGCCATTGCCCATATATGAAGAACCTAGTTCTTCAATCATATTTGCACATAATTCTTCCGAAAGGAAGAAAATATGATGCGAGGACCCGATCCACCAACTATCTGAAATGTTGGCAAACAGGGCCATAGTAGTGACCAAGACTACCTTTTCCTGATCATCATGGCTTTTTCCCTTTGCCCTTCTTTCATGGGCACTCAAAACTCAAGTGACCTTTCTTCTTGGAGGACCAACACTCTATGTTTTTCAGGTCCTTCTGCACTCACTTTGTGCTTATTCTTATTTTTTTTTTGAAACATCTTCTTTTTTTAGCAGCATTAGTTTTTTCAGACTGCTGTTTAAATCTCTTTTCAGCTTCTGCCTAAAGAAAATGGTCAGATCAATCAATAGTTAAAGGAGGAGTTTCACGGGAGAGAGTGGTTGTCAAAGACTCAAACGACTTCAGTAGACTTCCCGGTCACTGATCACGATCAGTCAAAATGACTCTCACTGCTACCAATTCTTTGATCATCTTCTCCATCTTGTCTGAGTGCTGAGACAGGCTCGTCCCCTCTTGCATCTTGCTTGGAAAGAACCGTTGCCGAAGAAACTTCATGTTTACCATTGTCATTGACTCATACATTCTCGGTGGAGTCTCCCACTGAAACTAGTACCTTATCCTTGACTGCCATTAGCGCCAGATCCGCGGGCTTCTCTTTTCTCAAGAATGAAAAAAAAAGATCCTGTTCTTTGAGAAGGAACTGCATTCTCATCTTCCAAACATCTACATTTCGAGGAAAAATCTTGCGATGCTTGACAATCGTATGCGTTAATGCAGTAATCATATCAGC